GTGGTGTAGTAAAACTAGCCTCCCGAGGTGATCCATGGACATTCTATTTTCCCGAGGAGAAGCCGAGGGAAAATAGAATGCTCCATGGATCACCGAGGGAGGCTAGTTTTACTTCACCACGAGATAAAGCATTCAATATTTGTTTTATAACACTTCACCCACAGATTCTGCTTGGTTATAATATTTTAAATTATTTAAATCTGAACACAGTTGAAATAAACTTCAATTTCAATACAAAATTGGTGGAAAATGTATTTCTCTCTTCCAAACTACCCCTTCGCAAAATGTTTAAACCCAACTCTGTGGCGCGCTCTCTTTGGAACAAAACGCGCTGCGTGCAACGCGCAACGCGCACACCAGCATGCATTTGCACACAAATGCCGTGCCGTGGAAAAAGTACTTTGGTTGCTAATGGTATAGTAGCAAAATTAGAAAGTAACATGTGACTCGCTCTCGGCCAATCAAGACACAGAATCTGTGGGTGAGGTGTTATAATTAGAAATACATCTTTGTGTCCCATTTTATCTCATCTTTAATTTTCGATTTGCCATTTTCAAGGGTACTTTGGCGCTTTTTGGTTTTTAAGCTAATGCCAATTAACATATTTATGAGTGGAATGTGATGTCATTCCAGGCAGAAATCTCAATGTAACAGCAGTTTGAACACCGAAAAACATTAGAAAAATGGACGTTCCGCTGAACAACTCGTAGCCTACAAATCTAAAACGGTGAACGGGTTTTTATCGCCCAAAAAAGTGTGTGATCGCTGTTTTTTTACTGATTTGAACTTTGTTGCTGCCTCGGCTAGTATAGGTTTCTATATGGAAGACAATGATCTACCTTTGAAGCCCTTATCTGGTGCTCACATGGTAATTAACTGAAAAATAGAGACAGTGTTAGCAGAGTCTAGTATGGAGTTTGACGGTGCCTCTGATGCCTTTGGAATTTATGCAACATATGTTTATCTAAAAATACATGTTTTATTGCTTTTTCTCAGTCTTTGCATGGGCGTAATAAAATTCTGCTCTGAGGTAATGAAAATGGTTTGTTGCTACTCTGTACAAAATATTGATTTGCAGCATTAACATGAGAAGAAACTGGTAACCTACAATTGCAATCGATTATGGCCAACCAAAAAAATTAAACACACTTAACAATGGAGTGCAATATTTTTACTGAATGTTACGTGTGATTAAAAGTAGCCTTCTATATGGGTGATCCCATGAAAATTTGGGAAAATAGAACGCTACCTGGATCACAGTTTTACTGTTCCTCGCGTCACAGCAGTCTGTGTTCGTTTTGGGAGGCCTCACCCACAAAAACTGCTTATTTTCTAGATGTATTTGAAACAGCAAGTATTACCAAAGTGAACCAATGTGAACTCTGTTTTTTGCATTTAATCGTGTAATTTGTGCTTAGATAATTTTTCCATGCTTTTTTAAAACAGTGACAGTCATTTTTACTTCTCTGACATTGAAACGGAGATGAAACTTTGTGTTAAAAATGGCACTGTCCTCTTATGTCATCAAATGTCGAGAAATGTCCTCTCCTTACCTTATGTCATCAAATGTCGAGAAATGTCCTCTCCATTTAAGGAACAATTCAGAAACGGAGTTCTGGTGGGGGGAAGAAACCTGAAGTAGCAGTAGACGATCCGACATGAGATGGGTATTGCCTGTCCATGCATTGTTATCAATGGAGTGAGTATTACGCATCAACTGGTAGTGCTTCAAGTCAGTACGACTTGGGATAATAATATATGTCTGTGAAGTTGTGTCTCTCTGGGATAATATTATCCGCACAGTGAAGTCGGTAGGGCTTAGGACTTGGGATAATTTTCTCTCTTGCTGAAGTGGGGTCTCTCTGAGATAATATTATCCCAGCAATGGAGTCAGTAGGGCTTGGGATAATATTATCTTTTCATGCAGTGGGGTCTCTCTGGGATAATATTATCCCAGCAGTGAAGTCAGTAGTGATTGGGATAATATTATCTCTTTATGAAGCGGGGTCTCTCTGGGATAATATTATCCCAGCAATGAAGTGAGCAGGGCTTGGGATAATATTATCTCTTGGTGAGGTGCGGTCTCTCTGTGATAATATGTATTATCCCACCAATGAAGTGAGCAGGGCTTGGGATAATATTATCTCTTGATGCAGTGGGGTCTCTCTGGGATAATATTATCCGCGTAGTGAAGTCAGTAGGGCTTGGGATAATATTATCTCTTGAGGAAGTGGGGTTTCTCTTGGATAGTATTATCCCAGCAATGAACTCATGAGCAGGGCTAGGGGTAATATTATCTCGTGATGCAGTGGTATTCCTCTTGGATAATATCCCAGCAATGAAGTCAGTAGGGCTTGGGGTAATATTATCTCGTGATGCAGTGTTGTTCCGCTGTGATAATATTATCCCAGCAATGAAGTCCGTAGGGCTTGAGATAATATTATCTCGTGATGCAGTGGGGTCTCTCTTTCGGATAATATTATCCCAGCAGTGAAGTCAGCAGGGCTTGGGATAATATTATCTCGTGATGCAGTGGGGTTTCTCTGGGATAATATTATCCCACCAATGAAGTGAGCAGGGCTTGTGATAACTCTTAATTAAACAAAATCAAATGCAAATCTCTCAGTTTAAGGTTTTTATCAGTTGACCAAAGGCAACAACAGGAAAAATATTTTGTTAGATTATAAGAATCACACCACAGTTTATTTGAACTTAATATATATTTAATTGAAAATTAACTTCCGGGTTGATGACGTCATCATATTTCGATGCCTACATCACCAAATTGTGATTATATTATAATTTAATTATAAGTTAATATAATGGTATGATTCTTATAATCTAACAAAATATTTTTCCTGTTGTTGCCTTTGGTCAACTGATAAAAACCTTACCTCAGAGCAGAATTTTATTACGCCCATGCAAAGACTGAAAAAAAGCAATAAATCATGTATTTTTAGATAAACACATGTTGCATAAATTCCAAGGGCATTAGAGGCACCGTCAAACTCCATACTGAACTCTGCTAACACTGGCTCTATTATTCAGTTAATTACCATGTGAGCACCAGATAAGGGCTTCAAAGGTAGATCATTGTCTTCCATATAGAAACCTATACTAGCCGAGGCAGCAACAAAGTTCAAATCAGTAAAAAAAAACAGCGATCACACACTTTTTTGGGAGATAAAAACCCGTTCACCGTTTTAGATTTGTAGGCTACGAGTTGTACAGCGGAACGTCCATTTTTCTAACGTTTTTCGGTGTTCAAACTGCTGTTACATTGAGATTTCTGCGTGGAATGACATCAATTTCCACTCATAAATAAGTAAATTGGCATTAGCTTAAAAACCAAAAAGCGCCAAAGTACCCTTGAAAATGGCAAATCGAAAATTAAAGATGGGGTAAAATGGGACTTATAACACCTCACCCAAAGATTCTGTGTCTTGATTGGCCGAGAGCGAGTCACATGTTACTTTCTAATTTTGCTATCTTTCTGTGCACGGTCAAAAGTACTTTACCCGTAGCAACCAAAGTACTATACCATTAGCAACCAAAGTTCTATTTCGACGTCGCGGCATTTGTGTGCAAATGCATGCTGGTGTGCGCGTTGCGCGTTGCACGCAGCGCGTTTTGTTCCAAAGAGAGCGCGCCACAGAGTTGGGTTCATACATTTCGCGAAGGGGTAGTTTGGAAGAGAGAAATACATTTTCCACCAATTTTGTATTGAAATTGAAGTTTATTTCAACTGTGTTCAGATTTAAATAATTTAAAATATTATAACCAAGCAGAATCTGTGGGTGAAGTGTTATAAAACAAATATTGAATTCTTTATCTCGTGGTGAAGTAAAACTAGCCTCCCTCGGTGATCCATGGAGCATTCTTTTTTCCCTCGGCTTCGCCTCGGGAAAATAGAATGTCCATGGATCACCTCGGGAGGCTAGTTTTACTACACCACTCGAAGCATTCAATATTTGTATACTTGAAATACGGAAGGGTTTGGCACACAAATGTTCGTTGCGTCAAATGGAAACAACCGGGCTTTTTCGTCTTTTCTCGGGAACGGTAAGATATTAGGTTTGTTTCCTTTCAACCAGACCTTTGAAATAGAATAAGTAAACATCCAAAACATGACATTTTTGGGGATTTCAGGCCGTAATGCCCATCAATGTGGGAATGTACATCATTGGCTTTTGCTGTAATTTTCAGAAATGAACTATTTGGGGGCTTAGTATAATAGATCAAATATTGTAACACTGACATGTTTGAAGTTTTGGGTCCGAAAATGCTGGAAAAACCAAGAAAAACAGAAATGTTAAAGTTTTTCCAACGGTGGTGGGCCGACCACCGTTGGAAATGTACACAAAAGTACTATTTTTCTTGACAATGACTTCACACCAGGTGCCATAATTTTACAGGATGCTTTAGAATGTTATTTACCAACATCCTAGTATTGGTATTTCGCAACAACTTGGTAGTTTCATTTTCGATGTTTGCAAATGTTGTTTTTTCCCTTTAATAGTTTATTCTCGTTTTGAAACACAATGGCTATCATTAAGAAATGGTGCGAATATACGGGATACGTACGCGGCTCGGAAAAGGTTGCTTGTTTAATCACCGTTTGTGTGGTTATTTCATCAGGCGCACCATGGGCAAAGTACATTTCATACCAAAATGTTATGATGTAGGCCCATGTGGGTTTGGTGACATAACCACACAAATAGATAACATATACCTAGCTCGTTTATGTGAGTCGCATACATGTTCGTTCGGTATTATTGAGCTTTAGTTCTTGTCACTGATAATCACTTATGCGCATGCGTGAATTAATTACAACTTATGACTGGTCCACGGCGAACATCTGGTATAGTTTCACGCAGTCTTGGGTGGGTCGGGGTGGCCATACAGTCAGATGTGTTTCTGGCAATAGATGACTGCTCGCTGACGCTTGAACCCAGCTACTACAAAGACGTGTTCTTTGCGCTGTTGTCGTCATTCGTTCAGTAGACATCAAATTGAAAGCATCTAGTGCATTTCCGACTCTGACTTTGCTTTGGTTTTCAAGTCTGTTTCAACCTGAAATGTAAGCTTTGGATAAACGTAGCCAGATTAGATAGTCAGTTGCTCAGAAAGAAAACCGTCCTGGTTATTAAATTTGCTCACAATTAAACGATAAGCTATCGCGAATATACGTTGACACTACATTTATAAAACGACAATGATATACGCGGTAGGTTACTTGTACCGCGGCGTCTAAGCAAACTTCATAACTGATGTACGTCTAACATGACGAAATAAATGTCTTACTCTCTGTCTTTTTCTCCTTCGTTTTCTAAATTAGCAAGAATGAAGGTTTACATGTGCCTGGTTCTTCTGATGGTCGTTGGGTGTGCCTTGAGTTTCGCACCAAGAGACGGTAAGTTAGTTGGTTCAAAAGTTTCGTCACCCACTGTCAAAGTATTTCATCAAATCCCTTTGCTGAATTTCTCATGATGCCATCTAATTTGAATTAGAGAAATGAATTTTAGGTTACATAACGACCAGTTGCTTACACACTGTCTTAAAGAAAGACAATCACTTTTGGCTGTTGTAGAATTTGTCCCCAAATTGTACAAAACGTCTATACCTGTATGAAGATTGTATCGTTGTTATCTTTAAGTGCACTTCGTGAATTCACCAGTAAAAAAAATCTTGTTTTATGTCATGCAGAATCTCTTCAGCGCGACTTTGTGAAAAGAGTCCTTACCGAAGGCGAAGCTCAAGAGATGGTGGAGAGGGCGGGTAAGTTCAGTGGTATTAGCAATGATACATACTACATTTTACTATTGGGAGATACAGGTTGACATTTTGAAGTAGTAGGCCTACTACATAGAACAAGGTTTGGAACAGAGGGACGTTTCAATGGAGAGTTTCCGTTGATTGTCTTTCTTTCAAACTTCAGGGACGTTTTATGGAGTTTCACACACAACATTTCACATCAAGCAGTTTTTCCTACCTTAATCAAAAGGGTGTCCTGATAATAATGCATTCAATTTCGTTTTGTGCTGACAGTATTTCGCTTTTAGTTAATCTATTTTCTTTGAAATGCATTGAACCATCTCTTGAATTTTCATCATCTGCTTTCAATCAAATATCGGACAATCATCAAACCATATGAGATTTTGAAATTGTCTACAATCGATTGTTGCAGTCTAGAATTCATTCTATAATTTCAATTCATCAAAATTGCTCAATCAATTCTCCATTGCACTATAGCCGTGTATCTCTGCGTTTGCCTTTAATGAAATCGATTTTATGATTTTTTTCCGTTTTATTATAAATGCTTTAAACCCTTTTTCGAATCGGAAGAAAATCAAAACAACTCTAAAAATAAAACAAAGTGAATCTAATAATTCCAAAACAAGAAATGAAAACAAGAGGTTGGTTTGTTCTTATTGCCTTCTTCTTCTCGGAAGACAATCAACACAACTCTGAAAATAAATCAAAGTGAATCTAATGATTCAGAAACAAGAAATGAAAACAAGAGGCTTTTTTGTTCTTATTGCCTTTTTATTCTTGGAACATGTCTTTTTTGATTCAGGTGAACCTTGCGAATTAGGTTTCGATTGCCCAAACCACGAAGCCTGGTGTGTTTACCAGCCTGGTGCAAGCCAGGGATATTGCTCAGTCTAATGCAAGTCCAGAACCCCTGAAACAATGGCAATCTACATGAATGAATAAAAACCATGGTAAGCCAATCCCTATCGATTTACCGAATTTTCCCTCATCTTCTCTAAAGTAGGCTTTATTTCGAAAAACCAATATCTTTACAGGCTTTAAATTCTTGCATAACAATAGAATGTTAGTGAACATTGTGAGTAAAAATAAAGACACCCAAATGATGGGACCGTTGTTTTAGGCCAAAAAGAGTCTCCGGTTTCTGGTATGCGCGCGCGTCGCAGTAGCCATGCGCGTCGGCAAAATTAAAAAGTGTTGTTTTTTTCAATGTGAGATGATGTCTCAAAACCGCCAAACTCACTGGTTTGACTGGAATCCTGCTGCTGCACAATTTTAACGTGGTTTTAGATGGGGTTACGATCGCGTATAAGCTTTATGTGGCCTCTCTGGGCTCCAACACATTTTGCACTTAATTTAGTCGGGCCGAATTTGCTGTCATCAGCCGACATTTGAAAGGAAAAAAAGCAACAACAAAAAAGAAAAAAAAAGCCGTGTCGCCGCACCACTTTTGGGGCAAGCTCCACACCAGAAACCGGAGACTTTTTTGGTCTTAGTGAAGTTCTGCATGTAGCACTTTCAAATTCGAGGATACTATATAGTAAATCCCCATTCCTAAGCTTTCTTTTGGCTAAGGAGTCATGCAAATCACTCATGTAATTTTCAAGTTACGGAATTTTAAACACAACCACCGTTTAAGGTTCTGTCCAGGGATGACAAAAAGGTAAGTGTTCTTTCAGCAAACGAAAACAAATCACATATAGGGATGTGTGTCAATTGTTTCGTTTTGCTGAAACAACGCACGCCTTTTTTTGTGATCCGTGGACAAAACTTTAAAACGGTGGTTGTGTTTGAAATTCCGTAACTTGAAAAGTACATGAGTGATTTGAATGATACTTCAACTAAAAGAAGGCTTATGAATTGAGCTTTTAAATCCTAGAGTTTGAAAGTGCTACATGCAGAACCTCATTAAAAAGGTAGTCCCGACATTTGGGTTTCTTTTTTTTTACTCGCCCTGAAAAGGGACATGCATCTTTATTCCTTGAAGAAATCATGGTATTTTTGTTTTTCTTTGATTATCTCCACAGATTGACAGTGGTTATCTAACAGCAAGGCTGTATTTTGATTAAACTTAAAGGTTAGATTTGATATTTAATCCGATTGTCTTATTTCCTAATACGATGTTTTTTTTTCTTATTTTCACATTACTTGGCTCGTGTTCCAATCATTTTTGGGGGGTTTCCTTTGCATAGACTTGCAAATTAATGGCAAAATCCACTACTACAATATCCATTAATTTCCTTCCTAGGATATAGCAAGGTTTACATCCGAGAATTTGATTTTGTAAGGCTTGTCCGTATTCAGAATCTGCGATATATAGCAATCGAGAGCGATCGTTTATATATTTTTTTGCATTCCACAATATATAGTAACAGCAACCTTATATTATACAGTACAACAAACAAGCAGGCATATGATGTTACGCCCAAACTGTCGTATCGTCCCATCTGTCCCAACTATATGGATCCGACCAGTTAAGTCTGTCCAAACTATATTTGGGGTATTGCAATGAGGCTTAACGGACATATATTATGTTTGCATCCGAGAATTGCATTCCACAAAATATAGTAACAGCAACCTTATATTATACAGTACAACAAACAAGCAGGCATATGATGTTACGCCCAAACTGTCGTATCGTCCCATCTGTCCCAACTATATGGATCTGACCAGTTAAGTCTGTCCAAACTATATTTGGGGCATTGCAATGCGGCTTAACGGACATAATTCACTGTGAATGATATAGCCATGTGATAAAATAAGGGACTCTTGCACAATAATGTATCAGTGCCCGTGAATTCATTCATGTCTTCTGTTTCTGTAATAGTCATCCATGTTCCTTGATTGCGTTTTCAAACCCTTCATCACCTCATTACTGCATACTTGAACATTATAAACAAACCAAAAAAGAAATGAGAAGGTAAATGGATTACATGTACTTCTTTTGAGGCCTGTGCAATTTTGTTTCTAGTAAAGAAGTGCGTTTGAAAGATGTGCAAGCTTAATCCGAAGATGGAAAACGGATGTCGTTTGAGAAAAAAAGATTCGCAGGCGGGATGCCGATCCCTCTCCCTCCGGGAATCGAGCCTGTAGGCCTATTTACCGGTGTGCACCCAGAAGGATGGTGGACTCAAAGATCAAAGAAGACCCTTCCCAGCCGCGGCCAAGGCCTGAGAGCATTTTTTTTGTGTGGCCTGAATAATCGCAAATTAAGTACTCATTCGTTTCGAGGTTCAACTCAAACATTGCACGGACATTATAAGCTCACCTCTTTAACACTTCTTAAATAAGGCTTAGTCCTATGGTTGTGAGTGTGAACAAGGTAATTACGCATTTTGACAATATTAAAATGCGAGAGTAACATTCTCAAATTATGTGGCATAGGCGTAGCCAGCGGGAGGGGGGGGGGGGGTAAGGGGGTATTTACCCCCTCCCCCAATATTTTGTAAAGACTGCCTTTTTCCATTCAAATGCCTTTTTTTCAACGGGTTTACCTCCCTTTGTTATTCACCCTTTGTGTGAATAATCGTCGGTTTTGAACAGCGCCCCAATCGACATATGGTACCAGCCCCCCCCCCTCTCCCCCCCCCCTGCTTTTTGATTTTACGGAGGCCAAGTGTCCGGAGGAAAAAAACCTGTCCACATTTTACCACGGATGTGCGAGTGCCCTTTTCGAAAAATTTTACCCCCTCCCCCAATAAAAATGACCGTGCTACGCCACTGTGTGGGATATCCAAATACATAAGGTGACAGGCTGTTATCGAATTGCTGGCTCTATCTCATAATTTGCGAACACAGGAGTGTTCAATATACAGCTTGTAAAGAGCGCCCTCACTGTGGACAGGTTTTGATTACCCATGCTTTTCACAACGGAACAAATACCTATCCGCTTTGAACGAACGTGTCTTAGCTGGTATAGTGCCCTCTCGTGACAATGATTGTAGAAATATTCGAGCCCCCCCCCCCCCCCCATAAGTTGTCCGTATTCAGAACCTGCGATATATTGCAATCAAGAGCGATCGTTAATATATTTTTTTGGGCATTCCACAATATTTAGTAACAGCAACCTTTTACAGTACAACAAAGAGGCATATGATGTTACGCCCAAACTGTCGTATCGTCCCATCTGTCCCAACTATATGGATCCGAACAGTTAAGTCTGTCCAAACTATATTTGGGGTATTGCAATGAGGCTTAACGGACATATATTATGTTTGCATCCGAGAATTGCATTCCACAAAATATAGTAACAGCAACCTTATATTATACAGTACAACAAACAAGCAGGCATATGATGTTACGCCCAAACTGTCGTATCGTCCCATCTGTCCCAACTATATGGATCCGACCAGTTAAGTCTGTCCAAACTATATTTGGGGCATTGCAATGCGGCTTAACGGACATAATTCACTGTGAATGATATAGCCATGTGATAAAATAAGGGACTCTTGCACAATAATGTATCAGTGCTCGTGAATTCATTCATGTCTTCTGTTTCTGTAATAGTCATCCATGTTCCTTGATTGCGTTTTCAAACCCTTCATCACCTCATTACTGCATACTTGAACATTATAAACAAACCAAAAAAGAAATGAGAAGGTAAATGGATTACATGTACTTCTTTTGAGGCCTGTGCAATTTTGTTTCTAGTAAAGAAGTGCGTTTGAAAGATGTGCAAGCTTAATCCGAAGATGGAAAACGGATGTCGTTTGAGAAAAAAAGATTCGCAGGCGGGATGCCGATCCCTCTCCCTCCGGGAATCGAGCCTGTAGGCCTATTTACCGGTGTGCACCCAGAAGGATGGTGGACTCAAAGATCAAAGAAGACCCTTCCCAGCCGCGGCCAAGGCCTGAGAGCATTTTTTTTGTGTGGCCTGAATAATCGCAAATTAAGTACTCATTCGTTTCGAGGTTCAACTCAAACATTGCACGGACATTATAAGCTCACCTCTTTAACACTTCTTAAATAAGGCTTAGTCCTATGGTTGTGAGTGTGAACAAGGTAATTA